TCAAAGATTCATCCATATTGTTGTGAATGCCAGTAATTCATTTATTTTTATTGCTAAGTAATATTCCATTATTTGGAGATACTGCAATTTATCTATTAGCTAGTTGGAAGAAACTATTTTTAAATTTACCTAGCTTTATATATTTGTTGTAAGTCATACACTGGCTAGATATTTGTATTGTTTGTTTAACTTTATAAAAATCTACTTGTATTCCTTAAGGTTTTCTCAAGCACAAATTTTAATTTAGTCCTTCTAACTTTTTCCTTTGTTTTTAATTAATAGGACATAAGAATGATATCTAGCAGGTAACATATTTAATTTCTAATTTGGCAAAGAAATTATTTTTTTATTAAATCATTTTTATATTAAATTCTATAGTCCTTATAGTCCTTCTAATCAAGTGGGTATTTTAGATAAAACACATTTTCATTATAAAAAGACCTGTAAAGATGGATCAGAAAAGACAAAAAGGAAAAAAATCAAAGAGAAAACAAGCTTTCAGCAAGAAATAATAACTGCAAAATTCCCAAATCAAAAAATTGCCAGGTTTCCAGTAGTTTCACTAACCACCTTTCAAAGTAAACTCCTGTTCCTTAAACCTTAACCACTTTCTATATATATAAAAAAAAATTACAGCAGTTAAGATTTTGGTGCTTACTCTAATCTAGTGGTGAAAGCATACCATCCCTTCAGCTCTGGTTACAGTTAGCTACTCTCGTCTGCTGCCTTTTATATCAGAAGGTCACTGTTAGGCTAATACTATGCATACAGTCTTTCCTGTAGCCTTCCCATTCATTCAAATACTCATATTTACAGTTATTTATTTATTAGCGACTTGATATGTGCCACACATAATGCTAGGTGCTGAGGTAAAACTAACTTAAAAATGAAGTGATGGAATAATTTGCTAATGAGAGGAACACAGAAATTGTGTTTTAACTGTAGTTCATCGTATATGTGCCTAATAACCTAACATTTACAAATACTTCTTATTCTTTTAATGTATATTTAATCATTTCAAATCATCAGAGAATCCATAAGAAAATAACTGCAGGACAGGACAATGTTACTGACTTAGTCATCTCAGCTTCTTACTTTTTTCCCTTAGTTTTTAAAATTTGTTTTCTATTGTGGTAAATTATATATAATACAGGTTGGTAATTTTAATGATTTTAAGGGTAAACATCAGTGGCATTAATTATGTTCAGAAGGTTTTGTAACCACCACTACCCACCACCTATTTTCAAAACATTTCCCATCCCATTTCTATCCCTAATCAATTATGCATTCCTTATATATCAACTCAGATGACAACTTCTTTGTAAAACTGACCCTGACAGAATAAATTACATCTCTTTTACTTCTTAACCCTGTACATATTTTTATTATTGAATTTATCATCTCATTCCGTAATTGTGCTTATACTCTTTTGTCTAAGCTATTTGAGAGCAGGACCCAGGAAGTCAAACAATATGCTATTATTAAAAACCTTTATATTCTCCCCACTTAGCATAGTCCCTGGCCCTGAGTAAGCACTCACTACATTTTTGTCCAGTTATAACAAAAACTCCTAGTGGTGGCCTTGCACAGTTGCTAGGCAGGCTCTTTTGTCTGAAAACACTCTTAACCTGGAATATTTATATAAAATATTTATGTAAAATTTCATAATATCTTTTAGATTTATGTATCCTAAGTTCTGAACATCACCTTTTAAGATGTAAATAAAGTCTAAGAGGAATTGATATGAATATTGGTCATCAAAACCTTCAGTGCAAACTAATTTATCAGATCAGATTCTTTCTTCAAAAATAGGGCCAGAACAGTTTAGTTTTGAATATGGTGATGGAAAAAAAATAAGAGAGATGGGATAATTTTGTGTAAAATAAATATTCTTCAAAATAAATATTATGTTACTACTTGGGCTGGTGGGAAGCGTTTGGGAACTACTCAAAAAGAATCCTCACTTTACGATCTTCTAGGACATGTAAACACTTTATAAATACTGTAATAATATACTTCTTTTTATAGTCAAAGGCAAGTAAAATCTCCCCACCTACCTACGCATACCTCTTAATTATAGCATTACTTCCAATAACCATTCAAATAGAATATTAATTAGCTTGCACCTGACTCTTACAAAGGGTATGAAGTAACTTACATTAAAACATATGCCAGACATGACAGTTTAAAGGGATTTTCAAAATGGGAATGGTAGTAATTGAATATAATTATTCAAATAATTTAAGATGAGAAGTTAAGTACCACATTTTTAAACTTGGCAAAACTTCTGAATGGCTGGAAAGAAGCAGGAACTTTGTTTGAATGTTTTCTTTGTTTAAGTAATCAATATCATTCACACCTTTGAATGCTGTTATTAATCTTTCAAGTTGTCATTTGAGGGGAAAAACATTCCATTTTTGCCTCAAGTCTTAAAGGAAGAGAATATAATATTAAGGAAAATATTTACCCAAATAGTTTGCTTAGAATTTAGATTCCATTTGAATATTTTTATTAATGTGTAATTTTTCTGAAGGTTACTGATTTATATGAAAGTATTTTCTGTCCGTGTGGTTATATGTTTTATATAAAATTTACACAAGAAGTTATTTTAATCTGCGGCTTAAAATATGTGAAAAGATTATGGTCATCAATATAAAAATGGCTAAGCATGAAACGAAATACCTCTGGTTTATCTGAAATGAAAAAGAAAAATGTTGGTTTGTTTTATGTATTCAATAGGACTGAATTAAACTTTAGAACTATTTCCTTTCAGATGAAGAATAAAAAGCAAATGAGATAACTTCTTTTGAAGTATGAAAACATATAGTCCCAAGTTGTGGTCACTTATTATTTGAGACTTTCACTAATATTTGGCAAAACTGCAAGTATATAGCATGATAATCATATTTGCAAGCTATAGCTATAACTTATAAATCCTATTTTATTTTAAATACATTGCCTTAATTATTTCTCCATTTGTGACATGATAATATAAGAATACAGGAAAATAGCTGTTAAGAATGGCAACAATTAAGATAAAAATTTTATTTTGGCCAATAAGTCTTAAAATCAGTATCAGAAAGAACCTCAAAAACCAGCACTTTCTATCTTTATGGGAGTGGGGAAAAAAAAAAGAAAGACAAGAAAGGGAAGTGCTTTATATAATTCAACAATGACTGATTCGACAAAGTAAGAAATAGTTTGAACTGATTCCAAAGACAAAGGAATTCTATTTTAATTTTTTTTTTTTTTGAGTTGGAGTCTCACTCTGTCGCCCAGACTGGAGTGCAGTGGCCGCTCCCGGCCACTGCAGCCTCGACCTGCTGGGCTCCGGCGATCCTTCCGCCTCAGCCTTCCAAGTAGCTGGAATTACAGGCATGCGCTACCACGCCCAGCTGATTTTTTTATTTATTGTAGAGATGAGGTCTCACTGCCAGGTGGGTCTCGAACCCGCGGGCTCAGGCAATCCACTCACCTCAGCCTCCCAAAGGCACGGGATTACAGGCTGAGCCACCAAGCCCGGCTTATTTTAATCTCTTAACTACGATTTTGATATTACTTTTAGAAAAATTTAAAAATCAAAATTAAAAAGATAGCTGACCGAAACATTAAAATATATCTAAGCTATTCTACCAAAATATAAAAGAAAATAAAATTGATAAAAATGTGTTAGTTATTATAACACTGACACGTCAATTTAAATGATCCATTAGAAAGTTTTGAAGTTTATATAGTCAGTATATAGTTTACATAGAAGATCTAAGTATGAATTTTTGAATGCCATTTGAAAATCCTTGTCAACATTATTACATTTTTTTCTCAGCAGATATCCGAATACCAAATAAAGAAAGCATACATACTTCAGCAACTAGAGATTGATTTTTTTTTTTTTTTTTGAGTTAGAGTCCCACTCTGGCGCCCAGACTGGAGTGCAGTGGCCGCTCCTGGCCACCGCAGCCTCGACCTACTGGGCTCCAGCGATCCTTCCGCCTCAGCCTTCCAAGTAGCCGGAATTACAGGCATGCGCTACCACGCCCAGCTGATTTTTTTGATTTATTGTAGAGATGAGGTCTCGCTGCCCAGGTGGGTCTCGAACCCGCGGGTTCAGGCAATCCACTCACCTCAGCCTCCCAAAGGCGCGGGATTACAGGCTGAGCCACCGAGCCCGGCTTAGAGACTGATTTTTAGTGGGACATCATATAAAAAGTATGTGTGTGTGTATACACACACACACACACACACACAGATATTGAAAGTATCAGCCTAAAGCTTTATTAATTTTATTCTTATCTTTTAGTCTAAGTTATAAATTATGATTTCCATAGAGTGGGAAAAACTTCACAGAGAAAAAAATTTAAGATAAGTAAATGAGTCTACACAACAGAAAAAAAAATACATTAACAGAAATAATGTTTAACCCATAGATAATTTAACCATAAATTTTAAACAGTATAATTACAGACAGCATCCTAACTCTGTCACTTAATAGCCTTGACTCTACTCCGTTTACTTAGGCTCCAATTTCTTATTTATAAAATAGGAGTAACTCTACCTCATAAGCAGCAACAATTAAATGAGGTAATGCATGCAAAGCACTAAAGTGTCTGGTACATAGCTAATTTAATGAATGTTTACTATTATTTTATTATATCCTTTCCTTCAAAATATGTCCACCAAAACTGTTAAACAGACTAAGTTCTGCATTTTCAGGGACTATGTCACTTTAAATTTTCATCATGTTTAGAAAACTGATCATACCTATTTCATTTTTCCATCAATAGTTATCATAATGAGCTACAAATCACACTTTTCTAAATTATGTTCTCATGTCGGAAGGCCTGTTAAGAAAACAACAAAAATATCTTGAATTGCACATCTTTCCACATAAGAAGACATGAAGAAGAAAGTCTCCTTGTTCATTCCACTAAAGTCAATGACATTAATTGCTATTTCTTATAATCATATAAAATTTAAAAGGTAAGTCACATAAGTCAACTTACTTGATGAAGATCATTTCCCAGTGCATATTCTGCAAAGTAGCCTGGAGCAGCAGATGAAGCTCTAATGGCCTGCCACATTTTATACTGACAGCCTCCCAAATAATGAGAGTTGATTCCAGGAAAATGACCATAGTTTCTGAACACAAAAGCTTTTGGCGTTATCCCTCTGTTTACTATGGTACTTACAGCAGCTACCTAGTAAATTAAAAAATGAAAAAAGCCATTGTAACAGCAATATTTGGGATCTGTAGAACTTAAATACTATTTAGCAGTATGAGTAAACAATCTACAACTCTTCCAATGAGCTACATGTGTAACAAATGTAATGTTGACCAATGGGAATCAGATCCTTTTTTTTTTTTTTTTGAGTTGGAGTCTCACTCTGTCGCCCAGACTGGAGTGCGGTGGCTGCTCCCAGCCACCGTAGCCTCGACCTGCTGGGCTCCGGCAATCCTTCCACCTCAGCCTTCCAAGTAGCTGGAACTATAGGCACGTGCTACCACACCTGGCTAATTTTTTATTTATTGTAGAGATGAGGTCTCGCCAAGTTGCCCAGCCGGGTCTCGAACCCGTGGGCTCAGGCAATCCACTCACCTCGGCCTCCCAAAGGCGCAGGATTACAGGCTGAGCCACCGAGCCCGGCGAGATCCTTTTTAAATAGGCATTTCTTTATGGGACAAGAGATACAAGAATTGAGACAATTCTGAGAAATGTATTATAAGAGACTAACAATAAAAGAGATATATTTGACAACATGATTTAATTTTAAAAAGTCATACATTTCTGACTTTTATATAATAGCTGACACAGCAGTAGTAATGAATACAAACTGCTTAATCAGTATACTATTTTCATAATAACATTTACAAATTAGTCTTTGTTTCTGTGCTCTTTGAAAATATTTTGAATTTAGTGAAATTAGAATACATCAGGGCTTTGGATCACAGTTATTAAAACTTGGTAGTTGGGTGATTTTTATTAAAAATATAATGCTAACTATCCCAAGTCTTACATTGTATCACTGTTAGTTGAATTTATGTGAAATATGCTGTTTTGTTAAGGATCTATAATATAGACTTAAATGGCTAAAAGGTATTGATGAGGCCAAAGTTGTCAGTGTCCTATGTCAAGTCCCACCAGGGGCCTGTTGACTTTGCTATTTAATAAACAAAAGTCACATCCCAAATTCCTGTGGGAAATTCAGGTGTATCTCTAGGCCACTAGGTAGGTATAAGAGTTGGCCATATACTAAAATTCAGTCTTTCTATAACTGGTACCTAGATAGAACTGAATTAAGAAAGGTATGGGTGGTTTACCACACACTCCATTATTTTATACAAAGTTGATACTCTTCACAATTTAAAAGCAAGCAAGCAAACAAGGAGCCCTGGAGATACAGGAAGAAGCAAGAGTGCATCCTAGGGTCTTCGCCAAGAGCCAAGCCATCTCTTTATCATGGCCTCTGAGGCCCTGTGCAGTCTGATCTGGCTACTACTACAGTATCATGCCCCCTTGTATCCTTAGGCACTGTCTTCAAAAACTAGTTCCTAAATTCTCTATAACTCCTCCTGTACAGGTCATTTCCATTACCAGAAATGCTTCTATTCTTCAACCTTCACACTGAGGTCTCAAATCTCACTTCTTTAGTAGCTTTTCCCCGTGTCTCTTTAGACACATGCTTTCAGAGAACTGCTTTTGTGCTCCATAGCACAATGTATTTCAGAGAAACGACATCTCATTTGTGTGATTATTTCATTAATACCCATGTTGCCCTACTGGGCTGTAAACCCCATGTCTGCATTTGCCCCTAATGCATCCAAAGTGCCCTGCAGTGAGCACATAATTAGTAATTGCAGAGTGAATGAAAGTGAATATGCCAGAGTTAAAGTGCAACAAAGGGAGCTGTATTTGTTTGTTTTTCATGGTTACAGCTAGTTATCCAAGAATAAATACAAGCTGCATGGGATTCCTAGGGACATAAATCTTATTCCTTAATCAAACATGTAACATTAAAGAAAACAAATCTCAAGCAACACTCAGGTCATTGAGTTTCAAACAAATTAAATGAGGAGCCATACAGAGACATATCTAAGTGACATTAAAATTTTAATTGTAACTCCATTTGTACATAAATATACTCTAATAGTCATGGACCACACAGCAATGCTTTAGTCAATGATGGACTGTACATACAACAGTGGCCCCATAAGATTATAATGAAGTACTTACGCTGTATTTTTACTGTATCTTTTCTATACATAGAAACACAAATACCATGGTGTCACAATTGCCTATAGTATTTAGTACAGTAACATGCTATACAGATGTGTAGCCCAGGAGCAATAGCTATACCATATAGCCTAGGTGTGTAGATAGCTACACCATCTATGTTTGTGTAAGTACATTCTATAATATAGTTTTTGCACAATGATGAAATGCCTGATGACATATTTCTCAGAATACATCCACATCATTAAGTGTTGCATGACTGTATATCTAAGAAGCATATAAAACTTCTCTTTAAAAATTTGGGGAAGGGAATGCCATAATTTTCCTTGAATCATTAAATTTGATTAAAATAATTATGATAAAATAATTCTTCCTCATTTTTAGTCCCAGTCTTTCATTTTTTTTTTTAGAGGAGGAAAATATTGTTTACTTAGAAACTAGATTAGAGAGAGAGAGAGAGAGAGAGAGAGAGAGAAAGGAGATTCACCTCCCCAAGATAGGGAGGGGGTCAAAGCTTAGGGAAACAAGAGCATGGCCCAGCCATAACTCAAAGAGCACATGGCCAGACAAAAGCAATGGCCAATCCTTCATGTTTTTAAACTTGTTACTTTTACTAAATATAGAAAAGGATTTATGATCACATCTTGTAGCTTCACAGAATGACCAAATGTATGTATAAAGAATTAATATAATCTATTAAAAGAGATTAAAAGTGTCCTCAGGGATAAGTGCTTTCACCAGACCCTCATATCCAACTAGGTGTTTTATTTAAGAGACTCTAAACTTACCTTAGGACATGTGGGATTTCTTGCTGTTTCAATCATTAGTGCAGATCCCATTCTATCCCTTTATTAAAGGAGAAGAAATAAATAGTATCACAATGATTTTATCTCCTAACAACCAGGTAACAAACACTATGCCATTACTGCTTGACATAGGCTTTGTCAACATGCTATGCAAGACAACAACAACAAGAGAATCTCTTCTATAATGTGCATGAACCAACATGCAGATATTTATTAATCTCTGATTCAAACTTCAAGTATCTAAAGTTCTGAGGTGGAGCAATCAATATAGGGTGCAGTAACTGAAAAAGATGAGTGAAGGTAGCTGAAAGAAGACACTGAAAAGTAGCAAGGCAACATATTCAAAGTCAGGAGACACACAGGTTAATGCACAAAGAGAGAATAAATATGTTGCTTTCAGGGTTTTGCTGGCAGCATAAAGGGGCTGTGCTGGAGAAGCCTGTAGAAGTATGCATGGACTAGTAAGTAACCTAAAAACCAGGGCAGGACATTTAGGCTTTAAACTTGCTTTAGTAGGCAACAGAGAACCAATATAATCTTAAAAGCTGCTTTAAATCACTGGAGTTAAAAGTAAATGAAAATAGATAATGAATTACTGCAACATTACAAAATTGTCCTTGGACAGTAATTTTCACAATTCCACAATAATAAAATTTTATTTCAATGAAGACTTTTCCAGAAAAAAAAAATGATGTTTTTTCCTGTATTAAATTATAAAGAGTATGTTTTTACTAACCTTCCTTATTCTTCTAATGACATTTAAAAAATAATACTAATGTTTCTTAACTAGTACATTTCATGTAAAGGTATTATTACAAATTGCTTAGCTATCTATCCTTCATAAGCTTTTATAAATATCAGTGCAAAATGCTTTTCAAGATGGACAAGATATTTTGTCTTTCCCAATTTGACATATACATTTAGTTTGCATGGAGATCAAGGCAATTTTATTCTTCTAAGGGTCATTTTGTTTTCACAGAACTGTTATTGTAAAATCAAAACAAATCCTAGAAGCATAATGCTTTCACACTTTTAAGCAAAGCTTATATTTATTTTTTGTTGAAATCCTGATTTCATTAAAAGAGCTAAAATGCTTTAGTGAATTAAGTTATAAATAAAAAATTGAAAAGAAAGGACTGGTAATTGCTTATTTCGGAGAGATGTCAATATATGGAAAAATCTTTGACATTTCTAGATTCTACTGATGCTATAATTAAAACAGTGCCCCTAAAATAACACAATATCATTATCACAGCAAAAAAGAAAACCATAAAAGTACTCTCAATAATCAATGAGGGGAAAAATATGTTATTACCAAAAAGGCCAAAGGTAGGTGTGTTAGAATACAACAATAATGGCTCCTCATGAATCACATTCCTGGTATCCATGTCCTTATACATTGCCCCTTCTCACATAGATCCATGGTTTGGTCAATGAGACATCAGCAGCAAATATGCCATTAAACTGAGGCTTGATAAGTGCTTATGTGGCAGGTTTGACCTCTGGGAACTCTAAGATGGCAATGAGGAAACGAAGACTAGAAGATAATGACTACATGAAGAACGAGACCTTCCATATTAGCTGAACTAACCAGTGAGCTCAGGCAGAACAGGAGAAACGTCCAGTCAAACCACAAAATTATGACACTAAATCATCATTGTTTAAGTCATTAAGTTTTTGGAGTGGTTTGTTTTGCAGCAAAGGCTTAATGAAAAAGCAGGGAAAGAAAAAACTAGCTACACTTATAAAGTTTATCAATGCTATAATAAAAAATAAAGAAGTCTACAAAAAATGAGACAGCACTATGCAAATATGTGAAGACACTCTCGTGAGTAACAAAAAGAAAAAACACTTCATAGTAGAGAAGTTTTAGACCTTCATTTAAAAGTGAATAAACAGTATTGATTTTAGATTTCATGGGGATAGATATGAACTATTTTTTTCTAATTTAATACAAAAGACCCCAAAATAAGTAACATACAGTGATAATAAATGAGAAAACTTCACAAGATGTCAAAATTCCACAAAATAACTGATATTTCATGTAATTTCCATCCAAATATCTGTGAAATTGTTTTATGTGACAAAAATAACCTAAGATTCACTTTGAAGAGTAAATGAAAATAGCTAACAGAACTGTGAAAAAGAATAAAAAGACTTGTTATACTATGTTAATATAAAAACATTATATATAGCTTTAACAACTAAACTTACAGAATTTGTACAAAAGTAAACAAATCAATTGAAAAAAACAAAAACTTGGACACAGACTCTAATATAGGTAAGAATTTAAAATATGATAAAGGTGGTATTTTAAATCAGTGAAAAATATTTGCTAAATAATAGTGGGACATTTGAATATTAGAGAAAATACATAAATCTTTACTCTTTTAAATTATACACCAAAATAAATTTCAGGTGGCCTCAGAATTATATATAAGCTTAATTAAACCTAGGACTGAAAATAATACCAATATATTTACCTGCTTTCAGGGTAGAAAAGACTTTATAAACATAAAAGCAGAATTAAAAATTAAAGGGAAAAAATTTGACTAAAGGAAGATTTTTTTTTAATCCTCTACATTAAAAGTGTTGATTAAAAAGCACCTTTTAAAAAGCATCTTTTACAATACAGTAAGGAATACTCCAATAGGACAATGGGTAAAGATTACATCCTTAGATTTCACAAGAAATAATATAATCAAAAATCATTTAAAAAGTTCAAAGCCGGGCTTGGTGGCTCAGCCTGTAATACCGCGCCTTTGGGAGGCTGAGGTGAGTGAATTGCCTGAGCCCGCGGGTTCAAGACCCGCCTGGGCAGCAAGACCTCATCTCTACAATAAATCAAAAATCAGCTGGGCGTGGTAGCGCATGCCTGTAGTTCCAGCTGCTTGGACGGCTGAGGCGGAAGGATCGCCGGAGCCCAGCAGGTCGAGGCTGCGGTGGCCGGGAGCGGCCACTGCACTCGTCTGGGTGACAGAGTGAGACTCCAACTCAAAAAAAAAAAAAAAAAAAAGTTCAAACTCATCAATAATCAGTGATAAAAACTAACATGTTTGTTTCAAAATATCTTAAACTGATATATTTTTAAATATTAAACTACTTAGTGTTTATGAAACAGAAATACAAATTGATGCTGAGTGAGCTGGGACAGCTGTTTTGAAGAACAATTCAACTATATATGTATACCACCTGATTTAAAATTTTACTTCTAGAAATTTACTTTAAAGACATTATCAGTGATTTAACAGTGATTTAAGTAGAAATGTAGGATATCCATCTAAATTTTATCTTGAACTGCAAAACAATCTTAAGTATCCTTTTCCAAAGAAAATGTGTTAAATAAAAAAAATCCATAAACAACGAACAACCATTAAAACATGTTTCAAAAAATATTAAATAGCTCAGGAAATCATTTGTGATAAAATGCTCAGTGAAAAAGCAGGATGCAAAACTACACGTGAATTATCTCAATTTTGCGGAGGGAAGAAATGCACACACAACCCTCCCCACACACACACTTGTGGAAAATCACAGAAAAAATAGATCACCATGTTAATAGTGGTTTTTGTTCTTAGTGGGATTATTAGTTATTTTGTTTTCTTGATATATTCTTGATTTTCCATTTAACGATTAAAAAGACATCAACACTTGACCCAATAATTAGGCTTCTTTAAAAATCAGTCTTCTGATATATTTCATATGTGGAAAGAAATTTACATTTAAAGTTTCCTACTACTGCATTGTTCATAATCACAAAAAATTACCAACATAAATGTCTTAAATGTCCATAAAAATCCTAAATGAAAATGATTAAGAAAATATGATATCATATCATTCTAGATTATAGTCTTTAAAAATGTGTCAAGAGTTTTTAATAAAGTTGGGAAAAAGGGAAAGGATACAAAATTTCAATATAATTTCCATCATATAATATGTATATAGCTATAGAAAAAATGAATTTAGACTAGAAAAAAACGAGAAAGAAATATATTACTAGGTTTACAGCTCTGAGTAATAGGATCACTAGGTGATTTTAAGTTCATGCTTATATTTTTGGCTTTTATTTGGAAAAAAATTTTTAAATTATTAAATTTTTTGGAAGAATGATGAGAAAAGACTAAATATGTTAAGCAAATAACAAGGTAAAAATATGGTATATTTACAATATGATCTCATAAAAAAGCAACTTACTTTTATAGGTAAATCTCACACATATGAATCCATGAAACAATGACTAAAATATGATTTACCAAAATAGTAACAGTGGTTACCTCTAATACGTGGGATTAATAATTTAATATTCTTCTTTATCTTTTTCAAATTATAATATGAACATATTACCTATATAATCAGAACATGTAAAAAAAAGGAATTATAACTTACTTAAGAATCTTTTCCCATGTTTGACTGTCATAAAATGCATGGCTCCAACTCATTTTGACTGTTCCAACAATGACATTTTGTGAAAATACATCTGACCCTAATTTTCGATAAAGTTCCTCACATTCATCCAAGGGCATATGAAACAATCCCAACATGAAAGCTAGTATAGCACCTAAAACAAAAGAATCCTTAGTTTTTATTAGCATTGATGTTATAGCACTTAGAAGTGTAAAATCTCCTGAGTCTCAGATCTGGCTTAAATTCTAGCTTTGATACTCTCTAGCTATGTCACCTAGGACAAATTACTTAACTTATCAGAGCTCCATTTATTTCCATCTGTAAAACTGGGATAATTACAATTAAAATTCATAAGTCTCTTATACTAGGTTAACCCATACAAAGGGCTTTATCAGGCATCAAAAAGAATTAAATAAATGCTACCCAATGATAATGATGATGATGATGATAATTTAAAAATACACACAAACTGGTCAGGCTCACTGGCTCATACCTATAAGCCCAGTACTTTTGGAGGCTGAGGTGGAAGGACTGCTTGAGCCCAAGAGCTTGACACCAGCCTGGGCAATACAGCAAGGCCTCATTTCTACAAAAATTTCAAAAATTCACCAGGCGTGGTGACACACACCTGTATTCCCAGTTCCTCAGGAGGCTGAGGCAGCATCTTTGAGGCCAGAAGTTCAAGGCTATGGTGAGCTGAGATCTTCACTCCAGCATGGGTGATAGAGACCCTGACTCCAAAAATAGAAAAAAAATTCCAAAAACCAAAAAATGTTTTACATTAAATTAAATAACAAGAAAAACACTGTGGCAGATACTGTTCTTTCTAGTATTAGTAACTTAGTTTTAGCCACAGGATACAGTACATCTGACAACTTACCAAGTCATTAAGCAATTACTCCTTTAGGTTAGTACTAGGAATCAATGTAATTAAAAAAATTCGGTACTCTAGAATGCCTTTTTAAGTAGCTGATTGCATATCTAGCTGCAATTGGTAGGACACACTGCCACCTAGTGTGTCTAACTGGCCTACCCCTAAATGAAAGAGAAAGGGAGGAGAAAGCTTTGGAGTATGAAGAGAGAGCTAGGGAAGGCAAAGGACTGTGATCTTAAACATAAGTGTTTTTTTCCTATTCCAGAACTGCTAGAATGCGCCACTTCCATATAATAATTATTACCTGTGCTTACACCACAAATGTAATCAAAGAGCTGATGAACTGGTTTCTGAGTAAGTTCAACTAATTTCCGTAGTGTCTGAAGAGCAACCACACCTCTGTGGAAAAGATTAAAGGCAAAATGAGAATTCCCGTTTCAAGAAAAATTAAGTTACTGAATAAAACAATTCTAAAAATTGCTTTTGTAGTTTCATGTTATATGCTAACACGAAAACTAATAATCAATATTAGCTCAGTAAAAATTGCCCACTGAATTTTGATATCACATTTGAAAATCCAATATCTAAATAATGATATAAAACCTGAGCTATGGCAGCAACATTCAAAAATTTACACTAGCATTGCTTTATATAAAAATACGCCTGCCCAAATGAATTTGAGAATGCCAGAAAAAATAAACAAATAAGAATTTAAAGATATGTCCATATAAGATCTTTAAAACACTTCAACTTTGGAAACCATTTAAAACCTCCACTCACCAGTTTTGGGATGCCATCTACTGGTTTCTTCTCTTACAAATTTAGTTGGTCACTTATACGTCTATATATTTGTTTTTTATATCTTTCAGTTCTTAGATTTTTAAACTTCCTTGTATGTATTCATTTTTTTAAAACTCCCAATAATCTTAGGATAATCCTTTGCATTGAGGGCATATATTCATAATATAATATGAATGTCATATGTTATATATCAATGTCATATATTATATATCATATAATCAATTAATGCTGACTTTGTTCCTTTTGGGATCCTTGCCAAAAGCAGTAAGCAGCTTCATGAAAGAATGTGAAAAGACAAAATAGCTTAGGAGGGTAGGCCAATTCAGGGTGCATATGCCATGTGAAAAATTTTAACACTGAGAGAATATTCAAAAACAGTGAGTGAAAAGCACTATTTCCAATACAAGGTGTGGGTTAGGTAAGTCCTAGAAAACAATGGCAGGTAGGCACCCAGAGATAAAATTTAGAGCATCAAATTGAGCCTATCTAATTAAGAGAAGTAACTAGAAAACACTGTAAAATTAAAGTAGAAAACCAAAGATGTAAATTTTTTTTAATGTAACAAATGTAGATTTGAGGATAGGTAGGAAGAAAGGATGCCCTATAAAAGAGATTCATTAAAATTCAAATGAGATGTGAAGAATTAAAGATAATGCTGGGCAAAATATATTTAAGAACGTAAACTCCATTATCTTATAAAAAAGAAATAAAACAAGAACATATATATTCACACAGAAAAGATTTGAAGAAAATAAATCAGAATATTAAAATAATAAGCTGTGAGCTATGGTTTTTGTTTTGTTCATCCTTTTTCTCTCAAGTTTTTCTAACTACTTGTATAATTAGGGGAAAAGACTATTTAACAAAGTTGTATTTATAAATTAACTCAGAAAAAATATTAAAAATGTACTTATAAATGCTATAGATGGCTACTACTATACATGCCTAATGCTGTACTAACCAGGCTCTCTTATACCAAAAAAAAAAAAGGGTAGGGGGAAAATATGGGTTCTATTTTCACAAGCCCTCATCTCTTACTGCTTTAACACAATTCTCCCATTCTGGCGCCTTTCTCATATTGCCTTAAACTAAGGTTTCTCAACAGTAGCACTACTAACATTCTGGGTCAGATAATTGTTTTTGGGGACTGTCCTGTGTATTATATGGTGTTCAGCAACAACTGTCCTCTTCAAACTAGATGCAAGTAGCAGTTTCCCAGTTGTGACAACCAAAAATATCTCCAGACACCTCCAGCAAAGAATCACTGGCTTAAATCTACCTTTATTCTAACTTACTTCTAGATATCCCCAAATCTCTCTAATTTTTACTTATGTAACAAAACTCTTGTTCTATAAGATCAAATACTTATTGGTCACAAATATCTTTTTCATCATACCTCTCTCGCTTTAAATAGACATCTGAATGTCCTTTAATGCTCTTACTTCTTTCAGATATTTCTTCATTAAAAATAATCCATGGTCATGGATAGAGAGTAATTTTCTATATATGTCTATAATTTTTAAATTTATTGTCTTTTTCTCCTCCAGAATGCAAGCACCATGAAGACTTACTTAGATTTTGTCTGTTTTGTTTACTCAGTGTCCCCAGGATCAAATCAGGACTTATAACATGGCAGGGACTCAATCAATATTTGTTAATTGAGTCAATGAACGACACTATCCTTCCCAACTCCCTGAACTTAACGGCACCAAGGATTCTTTTTAGTGTTCCTCAAATGCCCTTACTCATTTAATTGCCACTTTACCTACTTCTCATCACTTGGAACCAATTCTATGAACTAGAATGATCCTTCCAATTCATTATTACTGTATGTATCAAATGAATAATGAACTCTTTCTGAAATTATTTTACTTAACTCTAAGAAACATCTATCAACATCTTCTAAGATTTTTCTCTTTTCAAAGTTGGCTTTTCTTTGCCAACTGAACACTTCTATGAGGATGTATATATTTTGTATTCAAGATATCCAAAGAAAACCGTCTTTCTCAACAACACTCACCTCTCCTGCCCCTGTAATTGTCAGTCACCCACAAAATTTAATTAGAGTGAACTTGACATGTCTACGATATCCAGTCTCCTTTTTTCTTCAAAGTTTCTTGTATATCTTTCCTTCCTCCTGCCTCCCACTGCCACCATCTGAAGTTAGTTCTTTACTATCCTGTGACTAGATTATTAAGTAGTCTCCTCTTCTTACCACTGACTCCTTCCTTCACATTGGCATCAAAGTGTAAAGGACTTGAGTGAATACTGGACTGTGGAATTTAACAAAAAGATAAGAGTAATACTTGAAGATATAGAAAAGTGATTGGTAAAGCAGGTATATCAGAGAGTAAGTTAAAGCTAAGAATAATAGGCAGGACATATACTATGAATCTAAGAGATGGTAGGAAACTGGGACCCAAGCTAGAAAAAGAAAAAATTAAAAAAACCAGGCCAAAGACTCTAAGCAACAAATATGCAAAAACTAGATAAAATAAGACACATGGATGGATTGCCAGTTGTAAAAATAGAGCCTGAAGGTGAATTTATTTCCTTCTGAACAAAGAATACATTGATTTCTTGTAAAGCACAGAACTGGTATCTGCAAGTGAAGACATAGGGAGTCAGGAAGCTACTGATATAGCCTCCTTTTCTAACCATCACTTTATCAAGTGACTAGTCGACTGATATACATATAGGTAAGATAAATATAATGTAAGAAAGCTAAAATTAGGAAACATCATTAAGATTTTAAGAGAATAAAGGTTGATAAGCTTTTAAACTAACAAAAAGGTCTGAAAAGACTGAACTAAAATATAAATACTAAATCAAATAAACATAAAAGGTAATTCAGGTATATGTTAGAGTAGCCCTTAGGTTGATAAAAGTAATAAATTTAAAGAAAATTCAAGTTTTATTTAAAATTTTTTATTTTATAATGGTACAATAATATCAAATCCATACTTTAAAAAATAATTTTTCTAGCCTTACCTTGTTCCTCCACCATCAATTGTAAGAATTCGGATCCCTCTACCTTTCACTGGATCCACATAGCCAATTAAGGCCAAAATTTCTCTAACTGCAGCCTGAAGAGTTTCATCCTTAATTTGTCTCAGTCGTAATAAATATGGAATAATTCTTTCCTATGTTGAGAGAAAAGATATTTTGTGGCTTTTCAGAATCACCCATTGTAACAGCTTTGATCCAGCTCTGACCCCAACTGATTTAAGGTTATCAGTGCCCCAATCTACATGCAAAACCGAGAAACAAAAAAATTCTCTGAAAAAAGTGAAAAAATTGAATGCAATCCTATGGAATTTTAAAAATTCACAATGTCCAGCATCCAAAAAAATTATAATTCATGTGAAACCAGTACCAAATGATCAAAGACCAAGAGGTGATCCTCATATTAGAACTACCAGTAAAAGATGTTAAAATAAAAATAACAAAAATAAAATTACCATCTAAAGATATCATATACCTACAAATTAATAAAATAAATCCAATGAGAGATGTGCAAGAAACCCACCTTGAACACTTTTTAAATACCGAGGGAAAATAAATATAACCCAAATAAATGGAAGAATATACAATACACATGTTTCAGAAGACTGAATATTGTAAAGACCCAATTCATCCTAAATTATTCCATAGATTCAAGGTAATTACAGCATGACTTTCTTCTTTATTTTTAATTTGTAGGTAGATAAGCTGATACTAAAATGTGTATGAAAATAGGACATGTCAAGAGTAGCTAAAGCATTATTAAGGAGCAAAGTTGAAAGATTTATACTACCAGATATTAAGTTGACTATAAAGCTACAATAATTAGGCAGTATAGTATTAGAGCAAGAATAGACAAGCAGGCCGCCACCACCGCCGTGACCATTGCCCCGCCTGTGCCTGAGGTGACCCACGACTTCAGACCCTGAATCCCTCCTCGCTGCTACCACTGCCACCATCACACCCTGCCCCTAGCCCGGAGCCAGACTCATGGAGCTCCTCCCATTACTCACATTGCTAGCTCCCTCCCCTCCTGGGTGAGCAGTTGCAGAAAAAGATCAACTGGAGTGGTGAGATGCCACCACCTGCTGGCGATTCAAGGTATCAACATTGAAATGGGAAAAACAGAAGCTTGATAAATAGACACAGGCCAGATGGGAGTGGTGAACTGGGCAGGAAGCCCAGATCTGAACTGCCCTTCACAGTAGGCCAGGGGCAACTGACCCTAACTGTGAACAAATTTACCAGTCTGTAAAGACAGCTAGAAATCAGAGCTGAAAGGACATTGGACTTAAACGAAAAGTCCCAGAGTGTGCTTGGTTGGTTCTGTTAGTTTACTGACTTAATTCTATTCCTTTTGTTTTGTTCTTTTTTTTTTTTTTTTTAATTTCTCTGTAAACCCCATCTTTGTATAGAGGAATAGCACACCAATAAGGAGGTTGGTTAGCTTGTACGGTAGCATCACTGTATGTTTTAGCTTTTTTGTATGGTTGTTGGTTAGCTTGTAGTTGTGGTTTATTGTTTTTATCTGTTTCAGTCTTTGTGTCTCTCTTTATTTGCTGGTACACTCTTCTCTTTTCCCTCTTACTCCTCTCTCTCTCCACTCCCCTCTTCCCCCTACTGCCCACTCCATTCTCTTCCCTCTGTTAACCTCATTTTGCTTTCAGTGAGTAAACCTACAACCCCACTGCATGGACAGATTGCAAGGCAGTGGGAAGTGGGTTTCAGATTATCCATATACCTGTCAGCAGATACTGAGATCTGCAGATAGATTTTGAATCACAGCTCCTCCCTTAAGTAAATCTCAAAACTGCAAAAAGGACCGCCACCAACTTACAGTCCAACTCCAGAATTAAACAAAGCAAGAGGATAGAAATAAAGAATAGGAGATTGAACAAACAGAAGTAAAAGCAATCCCTCCACCCCTCAATAACAGAATTAAAGAAGATGGGGAAGTGGAGGGAAGAAAAAAGTAGGGAGGAAAATTCTGCACAAATGAAGAAAAACCAAAAGAAGAATATGGGTTTCACACAGACCCCTGGGAGGTCGGACACTGAGAAAATAGACTTCAGAACACAAACAATGAAGAGCCCCCAGAATGACTGGTCACATGCAACAAACCCAGACATCAAGACATTAATAGAGTGAATAAAAAAAATTGAGGAGAGACAAGAGAAAAATAGGAAGGAGATGATGACAGAAATAACAGCAGTAAAGAATATTGTGATGGAAATAAATAACTAACTAATAAACATGGAAAGCAGAATTTCAAATGAGAATAACCTACCCAGCCAAGCTAAGCTTCATCAGTGAGGGAGAATTGAAATCTTTCCCAGATATCCAATCCCTAAGAACCTATGCTGCCACCAGACCACCTCTACAAGAAACACTTAAGAAAGTATTGAACACAGAAGAAAAGGAAAAAAGAACAACAACGTTCTTCACAAGAATACAGGCAAAAGATTAAAAACAAACATGAGCCAACTCCAGAACCCAAAGAAAGACAACAAACAAACAGGAACAACTCTGTAAGAACCTTATGACAGGGATCAACTCTTGCATTTCAATTATTAGCCTAAATGTGAACGGACTAAATGCACCACTGAAAAGACATAGAATGGCAAAATGGATAAAATATCATCAGGCAACAATCTATTGCCTTCAAGAGACTCACCTCACTAGAAAGGACACCCACAGACTCATAGTAAGAGGATGGGAAACAAATTTTCAGGTGAACGGAACACAAAGAAAGGAGGTGTCGCAATCTTGATCTCAGACAAAATACCCTTTCAGCTATCAAAAATTAAAAAAGATACAGAAGGCCACTACATAATGATAAAAGGTTCAATCCATCAGCAAGAAATATCCATCCTAAACATATATGCACCCAACATAAGAGCACCAACTTTCATAAAGCAGCTTCTAGGTAAACTAAAAAAAGATATCAACTCCAACACTATCATAGCTGGGGACTTCAATACCCCAATCACAACCCTAGACAGATCATCAGGACAAAAAATCAGCAATGAGATCTGGAACCTCAATGTGAGTCTTGACCAAATGGACTTAATTGATACCTACAGAACACTTTATTCAACGACCACAGAATATACATTCTACTCATCACCACATGGAACATACTCTAAGATCAACCACATACTTGGCCATAAATCAAGCATAAGCAAATTTAAAAAGATCGAAATTTTGCCATGCACCTTCTCAGATCACAGTGGAATAAAAATAAACATCAACACCAACAAGGTTCCCCCAAAACCCACAAAGGCATGGACACTAAACAGCATGATGCTAGACAACTCTTGGGTCAATGATGAAATCAAAACAGAGATTAAAAGATATCTGGAAACAAATGAATATGAAGAAACATCTTACTAAAATCTCTGGGATGCCACGGAAGCTGTAGTAAGAGGGGAATTCATATTTCTATAGACGCACATGAAGAAAATGGAAGGATCACAAATTAACAGCCTAACAAGTCACCTAAGGAAGCTGGAAAAGCAAGACCACCAAAATCCTAACTTCAGCAGAAGAATCCAGATCACCAAAATAAAGGCACAAATCCAGGACATGGAAGACAAAAAGATAATACAAAAAAAATCAATGAAACAAAAGGCTGGTTCTTTGAAAGGATAAACAAGATCAATGGTCCACTAGCTAGACTGAGCAAGAAAAAGAGAAAAAAAGCCTAAATGAACACAATCAGAAACACAAAAGATGAAGTCACATCTGACCCCGAAGAAATACAAAAGATCATTAGAAACTACTATGTACCTGTATGGAAACAAACTTGAAAACCTTAAGGAAATGGAGGACTTCCTGACATCACACAACCTGCCTAGGTTAAAACAAGAAGAAATCGAGACCCTAAATAGAAAAATAACAATCAAAGAAATTGATTATGTAATAAGAAAACTACCTTAAAAAAAAGCCCTGGACCAGATGACTTTCCAGCAGAATTCTATAAAACATTCAAGGAGGAGCAGATACCAATCCTACTGAAAGTATTCCAGGCGATTGAGAAAGATGGAACTCTCCCCAAATCATTTTATGAAGCTAACATCACATTGATATCCAAGCCAGGTAAAGACCCAACAAAGAAAGAGAACTACAGGCCAATATCTTTGATGAACATAGATGCTAAAATTCTCAACAAGATCCTAGCAAACCGAATCCATCATGACCAAGTAGGCTTCATTCCTGGGATGCAAGGCTGGTTCAACATTCATAAAACCATAAATGTAATTAAATACAT